TCAGTATTATAACCAGCATTTCATTTTATTCTCTTTGAGTATCTTTTCTAATAGACTATTTTTTCCAATAAAGCAAAATGTTTGTTTCTAAAATCAGCTGGATGCGAATAATTATTCTGTTTATCATGTGGAGCAGCTTAGTTTAGGAATATTAGTGAGATCTTAGCTGTCTGTCAAGAACTGTCAGTAGTATTTATGTAGAAAGTGGAAAAAAATCTGATCAGCATGTGTTGTATATATTTGTGGTAGCATATTTGTGTATAAAGTCAGCGACAATATCAGATTGACTGTAGTAAAGGTATAGATGTTACGCTTGTGTAGAGTCAATAATCTTTCTGATACCCGTGTTTCTGATCTACTTATTTAATATCACTGTATAGGTTTGATTATATTCTCAGATCAATCCCTTATACATCAGCTGTATCCATTTAGGTTTGCTGTAGTACTGTTTGTGGTGTTCATCATATTGCAACTATATCTCTGTAGGGTTTCTATGCTAAGCTGTGCAACATTTCATTGGTACACTGCAGAGACTTCCTGATCCATCTGTGTGATGAAGGGCAGGTGATGCAGTAACAGGCTGACTGGCTGATTGTTTCTATGGGAACAGGATCAGCTGTCAGCATCAGCAGCAGAAAGATGCAGAACTTACCGTCCAGCAAGATGCATCGGATGCCACATCGTTGTTTTTGCTGATCAGCCTCCTGTGCAGCATGCTATCAGCAGCTAGCTCCACTGCAGCTTTCAGTCTGTGTGTGTGTGTGTCAGAGGGTGTGTGCTGCATCAGCCTCTTTCCAGTTGCCTCCCTGCTAGCATGTAGATGCTGGGTCTGTGGCTGATGGGATGGACTCCGTCACACTGGGTTCATCTGTCACTCCTCTGTTAGCATCTCTGCAGCTTTTGCTTACATCATCTCTTCCTCTTCCTCCTATTCCTCTCCTCCCAGCACCCCTCAGTGGGATTCATCTCAGCATTCTGACCTTTGTCTCCTCCTGCTGGACAAAACTTGTCATCACAACCAACAGACCAGGACTATTAACATTAATCAACTATCATTAATCTTATTTTTGAGGTCCTGTTGGCTGTTGATACTAAGAGGGCAGTTTCTATGGCAACAAAGAAAGGATGCTGACATTAGACTTACATAACAGGCAGCAAATGAATGAGCGACTGGGATGAGAGCTGTCAGTGAGCTGCAATATTTAATGAATAATTAAGGTTTAGATTCCATGCAGATCATCAATGAGACTGAAGAATCTGGTGGACCAGATTTTAGGTTCAGGTAAAAACCACAGAACTGATAGAGCTGTTGGTTGTCATGAGCTGAATGAAAAACATAACCTTTCTGCTAAAATATTGCAGATTTAGAGCAGACAGAGATTAATAAATCTGTTTGAAAAAAACTTATTGGTTCCACCAACTCTACTACTGCAATGCCAGCTTTACTTCCATTAGAGCGAAACAGTTTGCTGACTGCCTTTCAGGCCTCGGGGCACAGTTACAGCCTGTCTTAAAGATTCATAAGGCCAGAAACAGACATGGACACATGTATGGGTTGAAGAATTAGAGCTTATTTATTTAAAAAAAAGCTGAAATTGTTTTTTATATATTAGTAAGGTTTGCTTTTACCCTAGGAAAGGTTAAAAATGTCATATAGTGTTGTGAAAAAGTTGTTTCCTGCTTAAATATTCTTCGTTTTTTTTGTTATTCAAATAAATTCATTTTCAGACTCGCTTTAATGTAGATGAAGATAAACTGAGTAGTTATAAACGAATATTCATATGCAGTGTTTTTATATCTAAAATCAGATTAAACACTACTCTGAAAGGAGCATAAACCATAAAGGACAAAATAAAATAAAAAATTACCTCAACTGAACAGAAAATTAAAGCAATGAAGGAGCCCTAAATGTAGAATCACTTTCCAAATGCTTTGGTAGATAATTACTTTATTTTTATTAATAAGTCGGATTCATAGCTGTCAAATATCCCAAAATTTTGCCAGGAAACTACTGTATTTTAACCCTCTTTCCTACTGTCCCCCAGTATTAGCAGTCTCCAGTAATATTATTTTATTATAGTTACAATAAAATAAAAAAAAACATGAATCTGCCTCCTAAAACTGATCACCTAATTGTAGTTTGGAATTAGTTGATAAGTGGTTATCTTAGATTTCTTGTGCACCTGTCTTAAAATATAACAGATACTGTAGCTTGACTGGGCTAGACCGACGGCTCGCAGCGGCTGTCATAAAATTCCCCTTATTTTCAAATCTAGAAATGAGCAGATAGGCTAATTTTTTTATTTCACAGAAACCTGGCTTGCCCTCATGGCTGTGGTCATGAAATCCTTTCAGTGTATATTGCTGAAAGACATCATAGCTTTCCTTCTCTTCTCTTTCTACGTAAAGACCACACTTCCACAGACCCATTTGTGAAACTCCTGAAGTTTTCAAATTTCCCCACTGTCACTGGTCTGAGGTTTCTACGCTGGTAGGTTCCAACCACCTGGAGCTAAAAGATGTGGACTCACCTAATATCTATTTCCATTTTAAACACATATATCATACTAAGAGCACAACTGATCTATAACATCATATCCCAGATTTTATAAAAGTCAAAACAACCAAAGATCAAAGCAACAATTTCCAACTGAACATCAGGTGTGTGCATTTTAACCAGTTTAAAATAAGTCTGTTAGGGATCAAGAAGACAGGTAGAGATCAGCAGATTAACTCAGGCAGTTTCTGGATCTCAGTTTAATACAGAACAACATCAGGTTACAATTAAAAAACAGACACAAGAGCAATAACAGCATATAGCACAGACGGCACAATGACACATCACATCGGCATGAAAAAATCCATTGAAAACAGAATAACAGAATAATCTCAGCACACAGACAGCTGACAGAATCTAACATCACATCAAGAGGGTTTAGTGAATAAAATAAAATAGTTAATAACAACAGTTGTACTTATATAAACATACCAGACTCCAGAATGCGTTCACAACACAAACCTCATTCAGCTGTGTAAATTAGTGGGGCTTTGGCTTATCATCTTCAGAAGATGATTACAGCAGAGAGTTGCTCCTTTGTGTTCATCAAAATGAGAAAATTCAGCAGGCACTCGACTGATGTTTCATGCACAACTTGAGATGTATGAAAATAAATGTAGCGTGAAGATTAGCAGATAGGCAAACCTTTTCTCACAAATGTATCACACTTTAAAATCCTAAAATAACCTAAACACGATGAAATATTCATTTCAGTTGTTTTACGTAAAGGAGCATCAAAAACAGTGTTTTTTTTGTTTTGTTTTTTATGAATGTAGCTGCCATTGTTAAAACCCTGAACAATGAAACAGATTCACATTTAACCACATAGAATAACATAAAACACCTCAGTAAATGATGGAAACCACCTTAATCGGATGGAAACTGTAATGTTTCTGTGTTTGACAAATGTAGCTGAAAATACCCATGAGTCTTTGCGCTGGGGAGGATAAAAGGGATTTAATTATCCTATCCCTTTTATTCTTATTGAAGGAAAATCTTGGATCAGCAAATAAATTCCTGACAAGTTAAGTGTGGTTTCTTCCAAGGTGGAGACAATCATGCATCTCCATGTGTAGCTGAGTAAAGGTGGGCATGATTGTGAAATGATGGCAAGAGGACATCACCAATGGAAGAATGTGGAGGGAGCTTTTTCTTTACCCTGCTGGTATATGATGATGATGACACGGGCTAATAGCTATTTTAGGCTAATAGATACTCAGGGAATAATTTAGGAGATGGTTTCAGCATTGGAGAGGGAAAGTATGAGTAGGCAGGTTTTGCTTTTGCCAGTTTAAGTTCTCTATGTGTTGCATATTTTGCAACCAGAGGCAGCAAACTGAGGGGTCAGGGTATGTCACAGTCAGCCCTAATCTGTGCCATGTTTCATGTGAAATGGCATCATGGGGTGCTGCTCAGATATATTTAAAAAAGCCTCTAAAGAGTGGATCTCATTTGCAAGGAGAAGCCAATTTCCAAATGTTATCAGTGCTTTGGCTGCACTCATGCTGCTATAAGGGAAGCATCTGTAGTTGAAAATGCTTCTCTGAACAGAAAGCCTTTTCGCTTAATATATGTGTAACATATCAATGATGTGCAAACATGCCTTACAGGCAGTCTCTAAACTCTAATGGCAATTATAATTATTTTGGGTATTAGTGGTGGTTCCAAGAGCAATGGAAGGCTTTTTTTCTGTACATCTTCAAATTCTGTTGAAGATTTAATGTTTTTCACATTGCGAATGAGGTTATATTCTTCCTAATAGATATATGGGCATATTCAGGTCATGACAGGGATTGGAAATACATTACAATGATCTTTAAGCTATAACTGAAATCAATGCAGCAGCATTGCAGCACCAATATATACCTGATACAGACACTGTAGAACAAACCAACAGATTTCATTTTACTAATTCAATATACCTAAATCTTCTGTTCATAGCCCCCTATGATAGTTAACAGTCATGCTATGTTTTCCATCTTTTTTGGAAAATGTCAGAAGTTTCAGGAGTGAGAGTTGGAATGATGGCCTATCCAAAGAAAACCTTAGCTGGGATGTTATTTCAGCTCTAATGATGTCCTGGTTTCATATTGTTCCAGTTAATGTGATTGAAACAGCACAAAACACAATAAAGGATGAAAATAATAAAGAAATAATCCCTTTCTATCTTTCAGCATATAAGCAATTTATTTCCATGTAAGGTTTGGGTTTATAATGTGGTCCAGTTAAGCCCAGTTTAACCAAGCGTAGTTCTGATTAGCTGATCCATATATAGCGCAATGCTGGTCTTTTTCCTCTTAAGAAAATACAAATGTACAACACAAAAAGTTAGATTCCAGTAAAGTTCAGAATAAAAAAAAATGCAGTAGTAATAAAATGACTCACTGGGATTTTAAATCAGGTCTACAGACACATAAAAAGTTCTGTATGGGTTCTTTAAGATTTAGTCCACTGATCTAATCTTTCTAAGTCTTGCACGGTTCACTTTGTTTCGCTTTTTTAAGGATTTAATGTGGTCATTAAACAGAGCTTCCTTTTCCTTCTTCCTGCTGAGGGCATTGAAGCGTTGGTCAAACTGGTAATGAACACAGAATTCCTTAAAAGTTGTCCTGAGGAAAAAAACAGAGATGATCATGAATTGCAGGTTTTCTTGTGTGCAAAACCAGTTAGGATTTCATTGAAGGAAACATTCTGGGTCATAACTGACTGTATTTTCTATGCAGTAATCTTCTAAGGCAGCAAACTACAGTAAATGGGGAAATAAAAGCAGCCATATATTTGAAGAATCCTTCATAACATTGAAGGATGAAGGAGAGATACCTGTTGGTGATCTTTTCCTTCTGCAGAAGCTGCTTGAACTCTTCTCTCACTTTTTGCTTTTTACTCCTTTTCTCTTTGTACTCCTCCTTCACCCTGCTCTTCACAAACTGACCAAACACCTGCATACAATGAAAATATCAGATTGGTTAGTAACCTAATGACATCATCATCCCAGGCATATCATGACTTTTAAAAAACTCAAAGTGAAACCTGTTTTCTCTGATCTACGGAGAGCAGCAGGTATCGAGGATCAAACACCATCTTGTGAAGCTCCTTTTCCCACCTGGAGAATGCAGACACCTGCAAAAATGAACCAGATTATGCAGCCAGGACCACAGCCCCTCCTCTTTGAGTCAAGAAACAAAAAGATTAATTCAGCAGCAAGATTTTTCCCGCACAACAATCGCATAGTATGGAAGTATGGAAAGGAGGAATGCTGTTATAAAAGCTAACTACTGATGTTTCTGGAGACTTCTCTTGCAGCCCATAGTCTAAAAGTCTGCTCCATCTTTTACTTTGAAAACATCAAATAAGTCAGGAAGGCAAACTTTCATCCATGATTTATCTGCAGGGTTCGAAAGATAAGATGGTGTTAAAGCATGAATCTATTACGAGGGCTTTGCCTTTCCCTTCGCTCACGCTTGAATCACTGTCTAGAAAACTGGAATTGAGTCAAACTGGAACCAGACCCAGGCTTAAGTTCTAATTTAATCTCAGCTGTGTGCTAATCTAGGAGGCTGTTAGACCACAAACAGAAACTTAGTAGTAGTTTTCTTACCAATTTGCTCTATTCAGATGAACCCTCAGCAATGGCATATACACTCACCGGCCACTTTATTAGGTACCCCATGCTAGTAACGGGTTGGACCCCCTTTTGCCTTCAGAACTGCCTCAATTCTTCGTGGCATAGATTCAACAAGGTGCTGGAAGCATTCCTCAGGGAGTTTGGTCCATATTGACATGATGTCATCACAGAGTTGCCACAGATTTGTCGGCTGCACATCCATGATGCGAATCTCCCGTTCCACCACATCCCAAAGATGCTCTATTGGATTGAGATCTGGTGACTGTGGAGGCCATTTGAGTACAGTGAACTCATTGTCATGTTCAAGAAACCAGTCTGAGATGATTCCAGCTTTATGACATGGCGCATTATCCTGCTGAAAGTAGCCATCAGAAGTTGGGTACATTGTGGTCATAAAGGGATGGACATGGTCAGCAACAATACTCAGGTAGGCTGTGGCGTTGCAACGATGCTCAATTGGTACCAAGGGGCCCAAAGAGTGCCAAGAAAATATTGCCCACACCATGACACCACCACAACCAGCCTGAACTGTTGATATAAGGCAGGATGGATCCATGCTTTCATGTTGTATACGCCAAATTCTGACCCTACCATCCGAATGTTGCAGCAGAAATCGAGACTCATCAGACCAGGCAACGTTTTTCCAATCTTCTATTGTCCAATTTCGATGAGCTTGTGCAAATTGTAGCCTCAGTTTCCTGTTCTTAGCTGAAAGGAGTGGCACCCGGTGTGGTCTTCTGCTGCTGTAGCCCATCTGCCTCAAAGTTCGAAGTACTGTGTGTTCAGAGATGCTCTTCTGCCCACCTTGGTTGTAACGGGTGGTTATTTGAGTCACTGTTGCCCTTCTATCAGCTCGAACCAGTGTGGCCATTCTCCTCTGACCTCTGGCATCAACAAGGCATTTCCGCCCACAGAACTGCCGCTCACTGCATGTTTTTTCTTTTTCGGACCATTCTCTGTAAACCCTAGAGATGGTTGTGCGTGAAAATCCCAGTAGATCAGCAGTTTCTGAAATACTCAGACCAGCCCTTCTGGCACCAACAATCATGCCACCTTCAAAGTCACTCAAATCACCTTTCTTCCCCATACTGATGCTCGGTTTGAACTGCAGGAGATTGTCTTGACCATGTCTACATGCCTAAATGCACTGAGTTGCCGCCATGTGATTGGCTGCTTAGAAATTGCTTAGAAAGTGTTAACGAGCAGTTGGACAGGTGTACCTAATAAAGTGGCCGGTGAGTGTATATCAGTAAGCAGAGACTGCAGTTGCTTAGGGGCCCCCTTCACAACTGTGGGCTAGGACGTCTCATTGCAGACATAATGGTGCGAAAAAAATTCCTCTAAAACCAACCTGATATTAAGATGACTGACCGATCTTATTTATACCCCAAGACATGCCAGATTTCAACATGATTGTGACACCAATAGCAAAGCAGACAGTGGTACTTTTTATTACTATGTTAATAACTGTGTATACTTCATTAAACGGTTGGTAAAAAATATGGATGGGGTGTTGTACTTCATATGGGGCCCACCCAGATAATGTTGCTTACGGGCCTAATGTTGTGTCGTTACGCCATTGACCCTCAGTCTCTTGATCGTACTAAACTCCCCCTGATCCCCTATTGGAAAATTCCCTTTCTGCAATAAGCAGTTTGAATCAAGCAGGTCTCCTGGATTTTATGCATGTCAATCAAGACGTTTGTGGTTATTTTTAAAGTGCGTTAGCTTTTTAGTCTAACAATAACTGGACTTTTATGCCATTGCAATATACTTTTTCCTTACCCCATTTTCTTTGTAAAACACTGAATTATCCTGTTATTGCAATAAGCTTTATAGATACACCTCCTATGTTTTTCGGAGTAATGGAGCAGAAACGCAGCTCTTCATCTTTCTCAGCCAACTCTATGATCATTCTCATCAAGTGGAAATGTAAAGCATGAGCATGAGGGAGATGTGAGTGTGACACTGCTGCTCATGAGCTGAGAAAATATGACCAAAGAAAATTTAGGATAAAAGAAAATCCTTATAAATTGTTTTTATAGTCTGTAATATGTTCGTTAATCAGCACACAATCAAGAGTATGTGAGTAGGTGATGCAGAAATTCACCCCTCTCTCTAGCATCATTGCCCTAAAGTGAGTGATCCGAAGCTCCAGTGGGAGAGATTTGTCTTGATTTGGGACCAGAGACAAGGACTCATCCTTTCTAGAAAGGAAGACAGAGAGAGAAAGGATGACATATTACCAATTTAGGTTTAAGGAAAATATGAAACCATATAATAGCCTCACTTTACACAATTTTTTTCATTTCTCATGGACACACTCGATGAAACTCCATCTGGAGTTTCACCTGGCATTAGGTCAATTGAATGCTATCCAGGATCCAAAAGTTAGATGACAAAATGAAATTATTTTGGCATGCCAACTTGCTCTTTTCATCACTGTTTTGGAAGCCATTTTCATTTTCTCAGACACCAGCAAACTCTGCACAAAATGCTTCAGAGGACAGTAAAACACTCTTCTTCTGCGTAATTGGATACAAACACTCACCTGAATTTCTTCAAGGTGTGTTCATGGTTATCATTATCACTGATGCCATTCAGAGCAGGATTTTGATATGTGGAATCGCTGTCGATCCCTGAGAGAAAAAGGGAAAGAATTATGCTAAATACTACAGGAAGGTGAGTGGGCAGACAGGCTAACTGACAGACCAGCAGGTGTTGTCTTTTTCCTTTTGTGAGGTGGATTCTTGACGATGTGGCTAATGTCACAACCGGTAAGCTCTCCTGGCTTCTCCCAAACAGAAACGTGAATTGTGGGATTGAAGAAAAACATGCGATCATCTCCGGTCCACACAACGCACCTCAATGTGAAAACAAGACAACAGATCAGAGAGAAGATGCAACACAATATGGATCAGATGCTGTCCTCCAGATTTATATCTATGTCAATATAACATTTCCCTCCTGCTGAGGAAACTCACTTGCATTTTAAAGTATTAGTTGAACAATTGCAAAAACCATCAGTTACCATGGTGACCCTGGGACAGGAGTGGAGGCAATGGGACGATTATCTTTCATTCCCTCCCCACTCTTTTCCTTCACTTCATCTGTTGATCTGTGAACAGACACATCAACACACTTCTACACACACACGCACACATCCATGCACAAGAACATCCACGCACACAGACAGGTTGTTATAACTTCCAAAAGGAATTGGGTAGCAGTAGCTTCTTTGGGAGGATTAGTTTTCATTCATTAAGATCGAGTAAGGAAAGTTTTAACTCTAAATTGTTAATCTTTCTTTTTCTTGTTTCCAAAAAAAACAACAAAAAAAACCCAAAAAACACAAAACCTTTTTAACCAAATATGTTACCAGGTAAACTTTAAAATATATTTATAAAGCAGCTGATAATGTATAGGAACCTACACAGGATTTCACCACACAACATTTTTGAGAGGATAAGGATAACTCAGGGTTATAGTGGGTGGCTGCACGGTGGGGCAGTCTTGCAACAAGGTTCTGGGTTCCATTCCTGAGTTGGGGTCTTTATGTGTAGAGTTTGAATGTTCTCCCTGTGCAAGTTTGGGTTCTCTCAGGGTACTCTGGCCTCCTCCCACAGTCCAAAAACATGACAGTTATGTTAACTAAATTTTCCCTAGGTGTGAGTGTGTGTGCATGGTTGTGTGTCTCTGCGTTGCCCTATGACAGGCTGTCCAGGGTATACCTCGCTTCTCGTCCGTAGACTGCCGGAGATAGGCATCGGCCCCACCACGAGCCTGCGGGGCTCCCTCCCTAGTGCGAGCTAAGAAGGGATCCTCAGGTCGGCTGAGGAATCACTGTTTCAGTGCAACTGCTTTGAAGTTTAGTCCATAATATGAAGTGCTAAAGAGGCCAAAACATGGACGAAACATGCGAGACCGACAAACACATTTTTTTTACTTTAATACTTGCAACATATTTATTAATGTAATTATATTTTCGATGTTGCCTATCGTTTTTATAACACTAATTCTTGTATCAAATTCCATGTTTTACTGACAAGCGTAATGGATGTCACAATATTACACCTCTGATAATTTAGAAGACAGTCTAATGTTAAAATGTAGATGCAAGGTTTGGTCACAGGAGGGCAGTAATGCAAAAGGGTGGATCCACTATAAAGAAGGAAGAAAGTTTAATTTGATGAGAAAAAAACATGTTAATTTTGTTACATTTCAGTCAGTGTTGTGTGCAAACTCGGTGGGGCCGCTTTTGGCCCTTCAAAAGCTGACTTTTCATTCGTTGTCTTTAAATAAAACACTTCCCAAACTGATGTTAATGTTAACTCCTGTACACATCTAAGATGGTTCTACATAAAAAAGATAAATATATGTTTATATTTGTGATAAAACATTATAAATCAACTTAACCAAACTCTTTCAGTGTTCTTCAGATGTATCTGTGGTTCCTTTTACTATAGTTTGGCTTCTTTACGATATTATAAAAAAAATGTTTGGATGCATGGATAGATGCATCAAGGCATCCATCCACCCATCCAACAATCGGTCCACTGGTCTACAACCCACCAAATCACTCCTTCATACCCGAACTGCACCAGGGAGTGTTATCACAGATCCTTCCTCCAAGCAGCTGTAAGACTCTATTACATTCATGCTGATTTTTGCACAGTTTCTGTCTTTTTCACTTAAAAAACATTCTGTTGTCATTTTTGCACATCTCTGCTATTTTTTTTCACATATCAATTACTTTAAAAATGTCCAAACATGTGTATTGATTATTTATTTTCCAGATGCACAGTATTTATATTGTAAAAACCCTATATAGTACAGCGTTTTATTTGTTTAATTTCTTAACTCTGTCACTTATTCTGTAATTTTTATACACTTTTTTAAGGTCCACATTTGTGGGACTAATTTTGCTATAATCTTTTGCTGCTGTAACACCACAATTTCCCCACTGTGGAACAATTAAGGGGTTTTCTATTCTATTCTATTCTATTCTATTCTATTCTATTCTATTCTATTCTATTCTATTCTATTCTATTCTATTCTATTCTACACATCCATGAAATTAAATGAACAGAGTAAGCTTGTCTAACATTCAGTGTATTTATAGGCTTGTAGTTGGATAAAAAATGTTTTGCTGTGCTTCCTTTCATAAAAAAAGGTTTAATTTGTTGATTCCAATTTTATGAGGTAATCAGTTGCAAATAAGTTGGAATTTCAGTTAAAGTTTTTCATTTTAATAGGCACATCCTTCTTTAAGTCCAGGGAACCCAAAGCACTTCACACTGCATTCAATCATTCACATATTTACAGGTTAATAATGGTTTCCTGGGGCACACTGGCAAAAGCTGTGTCTGAAACTATGAAAATATGGCTGATGGATGTAAAGACTCACCTGTCTGTTGTTAGATGCCTGTTCTGCAGCTGCCAACATGAGAGTTCTTCTGTAGGATAAACTTTTTCTCCCTGTTTGAGATTTCTCTGTAAGACAGATGAAGCAGATAAACCATAGGCTGATCAGAGTTATCCAGTCTGATCTAATTAAGTCTGCAGTAACTAAACCCTCAGGGAAAGGCCTGTGGGTGAGCTTAATAAACTTAAAATTAACAGTCATCTATCAGACTATGTACCCAATTCTCATTTTAGCACAAATGTTTGTCTACATCTTTCTGACTTTGATGGAGGGATTCTCTCCAGGCAGTTCTTATGGTATTAAAAATATTTGGATGTGTGTGTTTCATTGAACAAGAAGTGTGATAATGCTGATGTCTGAAACAAAATGGATAAGACATGTCAAAAAGCTTTAAGCTACTAGTTTTCATCTCCTGATGAATGCATCACAAAGGACATTTAATCATGAAGATGAAAATATTAAAGATTAAATTATACATTCAGGGTGTTTTCACACCTGCAGCTTTAGGTCAAGCCAAGTTTAGATCAACCTAAATTTCGTCCCGTTTAGGTTAGTAGGGAAAAATATTCAGACTCTAATGCAGACCAAACTAGTGCAGCCTGAAGAGGTGGCCTCTGTTCGGCTTCAGTCGAACTCTGGTGTGTATTGGTTGATCTCTGAAAGGCAAACTCAACAAGTTTGAGCTAAAAGAGCTTCTGTAATTTCTTCAGCATTGGCTGGAAATTTTTCATAACAAACAAACCATTGAAGAAAGAAGGAAACTTGTTTGACCTCAAAGGAAATACAATCCTGATAGAAATCTGGTCAGAAGATTTTATGACGAAGCAACTGTCCAGAACACACAGAAACTGTGACATATATGCCATTTTCAGCAAAAAGCTCAGAGAAATTGGCTTCATTGTGCAGGTTTTTATTCTATACAAAACAAAGTTGTGGTCAATTTAAATAGACATTATTTGTGTAGATGGCAGTAGTACAAATGGGGCTATATTTTACCAAACACAGACAGCTACAAAGCTACACTACACAATCCAAGACTAAATAAAAAGGTTGCTTTAGCCACTTCAAACGAATCAAAACAAAAATCAATGAGGAAGATCAACAACTTAATTAAAACCAAAGACTAATTTACATTGAGTAATTTGAATGAGTCACTGAGAGTTGCTGTATTAGTCTGGAGCATATTGATATTGTTGTGGTTGTAAGATGCATGATAGTCCAAAGATCTTCAAATTAATTTAAACCTGAAAAATAAAGTTAGACTTGATGTTTTGAATGTATTAGTTTTGTGGAAAGAGAACAGTTTGATCAACAATTAAACTGCTCTGTTCGTCACAGTTTTATTGATCACTAGATAGCAACAACTTTGAATGAAGTAAGTGTTAAAAAAAAGAAGCTTTCATGCAGTTAAGCTACTTTTTCGATATTTTATTGTAGCCCAGCAACATTTCTGTGGTAACTAGCTTTAGTGTAGTGCAGCTTCATTTCATAAAGAATAACTTGTAGATTAACTCACTACATTTTCTAAGTTTTGCCCACTGCTGTACAAAGTCTTATCTTTTGTTATGCAAGCCCCGCCTTTTACTTCAATTTGTAGAACAAAATGTGGCAACATACAGTTGGCAAGAGGCTGCAGGCTGCAAATGACCGTTCTGTTATATTAACTTTACCCCATAAATATCAAGCATTGAAAGTGATTTTGCACTAATTAAAGACAGAGCTCCATCTGTACACAGTCATTTTCTTTAGATTTCCTTGGCAGAAAAACATCTGAGACTCTGAGGATTCTGCATTTATTAACTCTAAACACAATAAGAAAGTTTACCACCAGTTATTGTGAAAGATTTATTTCCAACTTGATTTTTAAGTTGAATTAAAAAAATATTACAAATACGCCAGTATAGCCCGCATGCAATACACCTTAAGGTTGAATGTACATAATTCTAAATCTACATCTCACATCAGTAGAGTAAGAGTAGTGATGTTATGAGATGAGCCAAGGCTTCGATGTGTCAAGTAATGGAGGGGGCGTTTCTGCGAGGCACGTATCGAGGCTTCCCTCATTTAGGGGGAGAATGCAAAATAGAAAACGTTTGAAGCATCGCTAAACCGCCATACCATGTGATTGCTTCGGGAAGTGGTTCAGCTCGTCCAGAACTTTGGCAGGCATTTAAACAGCCTCAGTATTTAGTCAAGATGTGGGAGTTTGTAGGAGAGCTGCTGTCAGTCGGATAGAGTTTGGATAGATTCTAAGAATAGATTGTTTGGAAAAAGACAACCAATCTAGTTGGTTAAAACTAGTTTGGTTAGATTAAACAATGTAATGAAAATCAAAATCTGAACAAGCAACATATGTAAGATTGGTGTTAGGTAGTATTACTTTCTTTTACTTTTATGGTCTAACACTCCTGAGGCTGTTGGTTCAAAACCCACCTCAGACTTTTCAAAGTTATGGTAGAATACAACGTATTTTAATTATTTTGGCTAATGTGACTAATTTGTATTGGTTTGCCCTAGTACAAATATAGATTGGGTAAAAACACTGCCAAATCAGATTGGTTGGTTTAATCAAAAGATTGGTTGAACACATAACTTCTAACCCGATTTTAACCAAACGGTTGAAAAACTATTATGTTTGAATAAAATAAGTAACACCTTTCATTTTGCTCATCATTGCCCAATTTGCACAAGCACTTTCATTGTATGCTAGAGGTTATTTCACTAAAATGGTAGAAAGTGTACCTTAAATGATTTTTTTTGTTATACAGACCAATCATTAACAATTTCAAAGGAACTCAAATGAGAAAAACGAAAGAAAAACAACTGCAGAAAATTTAAGATTATATTACTAACTGTTGTTATGCCTTCCACCAGTAGGTGGTGCCATGTTCACATGAAGCTTCATGAACTATAGGGATCGATGAAGCAATTTGGCAAAAAAGTTAAAATGCCTCATGAGGCTTCATCTCACCATCACTAAGTAAAAAATATACTTCTGCTGTCATGATCCTTTGCACTAGTGCTGGTTAGATTGATCATTCAACATGCTAGTCAGCTTCTCTATGTTTCTGCCTTAAGCAGATTCACCTGATGCTCACCTGACTATATAATCAGCTCTTACAACAATCACTAGTGACAGATTACTATTAGCCATCGGGGTGTCTTTCAGTATTCCTGTTACCCGTCTGCCTACCTGATTTTAAACTGATTTTGCCTCCTGAATCTCTGAACCCTGTCATAGTGTGTCTTTGATTCTCTAACCTGTATTCTGTGCCCTGGCCTCACTCTTGGATTCCCCCCGGATTGTCTCTAGATCTCGGATCACCTGGCTCTGACTCTGGACCGGCTCTCGGATTCCGTACTGTTGTTTATTTCCTTGATTATTCTGCCTGCCTCTGCTCTCACGGATCTGACCCTGTGCATTCCCCTGGACCAACGAGTAACTGTCAAAAAGGATTCCTACAAACCAACCTGGACGGATTCAGGAATCCTCAGAGGTTTACCAGTGACGTCACACGCTGACACACTTCTTCAGAAACTTTTAAAGTTTGTCCTCAAACACAGAGAAGATTAGTGAACCAGAATTCATCATTGTAAACATTGCCCTCTGCTTCTGCTCTTTTCAATTGTCCAATATCCTTCCAGAAGTTCCGGCTGCTGATTCTGGTGAATCCCTGTGCAGTTTCATATTTTAATACAATGGTTAAACGTCTCTTGTTGTATCGGGTTGAAATCTGGGTCTTCTGCTTTCTGGCCATTACGCTTGCAACTCCAAACCAAAAAAATACATATATTTTAAGACCTTTATCTTCTTTTATGTTATTCTTAAAATAATGTCTCCCATTAAATAAACTTCCATTTTTGACCTGATATAAAACATAAGAGATCTTTCAACGTCATTCAACATTTACTAGATCGCAAGTTTTTCTAAGCTTAACCGAGTTTTCATCTCGGTTAGCCTGTCATGATTGATATCATTTATGAATGTAAAACAGAAAACCTGGTATTGGAGCTCGTGTCACAGAGTCCAAGCATCCAACTACCTGCTAACTTATCCATAAATTGACACAACACTGGTTTATCACCATAGTCATCAAGCAATTCAAAGCCCCCAAAAAATTTAAACTGGACCGTGCATTAAAAAAAATACTTTCTCAAGCAGATGATTGGGATAAGGGTTTCATGTAAATCATTTCCAAACTGAGTCTAGCATAGACAAGAGGGACAGATGCCACAACTTACTGTGTCTGAATTTGGTCAGCATTGATAACTTTGAAGAAAACCATGAAGATGAGAGGGAGCATGGAAATTCCTTCATCTGAAAAGGAAGACAGGAGAAGAAATGACAGTGACGCAAAACAAGAAAATAGGCTGGAGGTAGACTTATTTTTTCGAGTAAAGATAAGAATAACTGACGTTAATGAGACAGGAGTAAGTGATTGGTCTAAATTAATACAGCTGTGATAAAAACAAAACAAAAACATGGACAAGGGTTTTGAAATTACCTGGATGATTATATAAGTTTACCAGCTATTTTGTTTCAAAACTGCTCCCGGCAAGGGGAAAAATTTTTTGGCGGGGATAACTACCTTGTCACGACACCGACGATGGGGTGGGGGGAGTTTATTTAGATGATGTTAAATTAGAAGAAATTGTGTCGTGTATTGAAATGCATATTTTAAAAGGTTAAGAAGCACGCTTTCTTCACGGGGGATTGTAAAAAATAGTAACCTGAATTAAAAATAAAAAGCGTGATTTTATTTTTAGGCCCTAATGCCCAGCCCTACTTCAGGCTGTAGTAGGCTGACTGATGGACCACTAGCTTGTCAGACTCAAAAGTCTTTTACTTTACATAATCTCCACAGTGGTGTTCTGTAATGTAGCAGGGATAGTCAGAACCCCGGCTCCAAAACTACGTCTTCTATTGCTTGAATCACACAGTGAATGGGCTCAAAGGCATAAGCAATGTGATGCAGACGCTTCAGTGCCCTCTCAGTTTTGTCTTCCATCAAACTAAATGTTTTAAATGTTTTGAGATACTGCACCATGGCAGCGCCCTTACCAAAAAATGATAAAACTGACCTTTTTTTTTCTTTTACATTTATATTTTACCACAATTGTAATGTAACTATTGATAATAGTAAGACACAATCTCATGGATAAAGTCAGTTTGGTTGAACATTTCATTTCCCGTTTAAATTCACATTAATTTGTACCTGTATGGGCAGAGATGGTCTTGTGCAGTGGGTGATTGTTGGCTTCAGCCACATCTGTCTTTCCAACCGATCTTCGTGCTTTTGTGTGGGAACAATTCCACCTGCAGCAAGACAATATTATCTTACAGTAATGCTACTTTCATATCGCAAGCAGCAGAGGCAGCAGAAGCAGCTAGTTTACATGCAAAGTCAATGGTTGACGAGCATCAAGGCGCAGCAAAAAGTCCAACCGCATGTTTTGAGCAGCATGTTTGACCAGCTGAAGCAGCGCATCATAAGCTTCGGTGCATTTGCGGTGCACAATGCACTTCAGAAGCAGCAACTGCTGGAGTTGTAAAAATAAAAATTTTGCTGCGTGACGCTCCACATCAACCAATCAGAGAAGCTGATCTGGGAATTGGCACGGAGACAGACACAGCACTACGGATGCAGATCGCTGTGATCGCTCCTCTTAAAACAGTTTATTACCGCCTAAATTGACTTAAAATGTCCAATCTTGCCAGCAACATTTGATCGCTTTTATTATTCTGGTGCCTCCACTTGGTTTAAGTATGTGAAAAACGCCCTTCAGCTGCCACAAACAGTAGTGGAAAACCGCAAAGAGGCGACTGGGCCAGAGGCTGCTGTTGAACGGGATTCCCAGGGACAGAGCTCCACCCATGTGAGGGGGTCTGATTATTATTATACTAATATCTGAAGGCAGGATCGTAATCTTGGTCAACTGACTGCACAGATCAGTTTTCACTTAAAAACATGTTAAAACTACCTTTTACCCACTTATAACAGCAAATCTAGCTGCCATTGTTACAGGCAAAGGTCGGATAGGGTAGTTGCACCCAACGTGCAGCAGAACCACTTTTCGTCCACGCAGCTGGAGCAGCAAAGATGCTTCAGCCGGACGTCAGAACTAAACTTGTACAAGCATCAAATATGAACTGCACGTGCGTTTTTGCTGCCTCTGCTACTTGCTGTCGGAACGTAGCATAATGCATCAGAATTTTGTTTGAAGACTATTCTATATGAAAAAAAAATTCTTGACCTTTTTGTTTATGTAAAATGTTTAAAACGTTTTAAGTTGTCAGGATTTCACCTGCATACTGATATCTCATCAAAAAACAAACATCAAAACACCACTGCTGACCACTTTCTCACCTTTAGTATTGTGTCAGTATTAGGATCAACAATATGACCATTTTGAGGTTGAGATGATCGTAGTGTAAATCAAGGATGTCAAACTCAAGTCCTTGAGGGCTGGTTACTTTTAGATATCTTCCTGCACCCTGAATCAAATGGCTTAATTATCTCCTCAGCTAAAGTTGAGTTCACCTGAGTCTTTCAAAGGACTAGTTATTTGATCCAGGTTTGTATAAGCATATACATATACACATCTAAGGCTATGTTCCCACTACAAGTCTTAATGCTCTATTCCGATTTTTTGTGAAATCCGATTGATTTGTGTGGCCATTCAACTTTCCTAATATATGTGACTTGTATGTTATTTCCTGTGTGAATGAATCACAAGAGCGCATCTTGCGATCTCTCAATTATTTTCAAAAAGGAGGCAGCACCCTAACAATGCAAACTGTTCAAGAAGATTTAAAAGAGACTGTTCTATGCATTAAATTCTGCCATGGTGACTCTTTTTCTTCCTGCTTCTGTGTAGCAATGTGCAGAATAGTGACTGTTATTTTTTATTATTGATGTACAGCTCGGATGAATGCAATCTGGCTGCTAAGAGACAGGTCACATTTGAAAATATCAGATACATATGGGATTTAGGACCACATAACCAATTGCCCGGGTCGCATCTGAAAAATAAAATGGATCTTTGTTGTTCTTTGTTGTTCAAAGATCCAGTACAGGCATACTGGCAAAAAAATTATTTGGGTCACTCCATATTTCAGTGTGAACGTACAAAAGTCCTAGCATTTCCAGCCAGACTGATACAACATATACACCCTGGCATAAAGCTAGTAAATCTGGATTTCAAAGGCGGGACTAACAGGGTCAGCATAGTCAGGTTAAAACCAATTACATAAATATGGATGTGACGCAAAACTTACAAGTCACTCACTCTTTTTATTAGGGATGCACGATATAATCGGCCCCCTATCAGTATCGGCCTGTATCGGCCTTAAAACTGAATATCGGACATCGGCCACCCCACCGATATTTAACCCGATATTTGATCAGCTTCTGAGTTTCTAAAGTCTAAAAAAAAAAAAAAAAAATACTACTTCTTCTTCTTCTTCCTCAAAAACTTATTTTTTACAGACTTAAAAACTTCAATGTCTTCATATGCTGATATATTGCCATTTAAAAACACCATATAAATCTCTTTTACTAATGAAATATTGTTATATGTCATTGTTCTGCTACGAAATCCCCCGAAAATTCACGAAATTTTGCAATATTTTTATATGTTGATATATTGACGCGGTAATGATCTATTTACTAACAAAATCTCACAAGAATTTGCAAAATATCAGGAGAGTTTGTAACAGAACGATGAAATTTCACGAGATTTTGAAAGTAAAATAGATCGATACCGCGTTTTTAAAAATCAATTTGATATCAGCATATGAAAATATATTTGAGTATATTATTTTTCAAAGTGTCAGAAATGGATAACAAAACTGCTATTTTCAATGACTACTTATTTTTGTCCAGCTTTAACATCAGTATCGATATCGGTTATCGGCTACATGAGTTTTAAAATATCGGCATATCGGATATCGGCCAAAATCCCAATATCGTGCATCCCTACTCTTTATGTAATTTTGTGTTCTGTAAAAGATGTTGAAAATAGCAAATACGTCTATTTTAAAAGGAAATTACACTAAACACGTCCGTTGTTAAGGTTTTAAGGTTAACTCACTCTGAATTAGGACATCATATAGGGCATCCTTTAAACATTGCTCTTTTGCGATTGCCATCGTTGTTATGCTAGCAGAAAAGCATTAAATTGCTGACAATGGCTGTTTCATAATATGTGTACTTGTGTATATACTTGTGGTTGTGAAACATCATCAGCCTCAGCCCTAGTGCTGTTCTAATTTGCAAGGACACAAAACCGAGAACGGAAAAAGTCACCTTCATGTTGTTCTCACCTCTCCCTCTTTACCCAGCATGCATTAGAATATACTTGTCCAGTCTTGAGATTGACAGCTGTCCCAACATGCATCGCGGCAGCAGCAGCTTCCAGTGGAGCGCTCAGAGCTCAGAGTAATACATCAAAACTTCTCTTTTCTGTTGCCATTGTTCTATAAAAGTACATTTTAAGATAATTTGAGGTGAGAACATAATACTTTTAAGCGTTACTATATGACCCATTTACTGATTTACTGCATAATTTAAAAAAACGTTCCAATGTTGTTATACATTGATATGGAATTTCAGAACATTAAATATATATGGTGCAATTTGCCAGTTTTTTGGTTTGTTGTCAGTTTAATGCAGAATTTATGACATGATTTAGAGTTTTTTTTTAACGATTAAGCTGTCTAATAGCAGTGGGGAAGAAGCTGTTTCGTAATCTACTGGGCTTGCATTGGATGCTTTGAAGCCTCTTCCCAGAGGGCAGCAGTCTATAGTGGGGGTGTGAGGGGTCATTGATAATGTTATGGGCTCAGGACACACAGCGCTTGGATGAAATGTCTTTGGGTAGAAGAGCCCTTCTCTGCTGTTCTCACCACTTTTCTCACTTTCTTCTAGTCAACGTAGCCTCCACACCACACAGTGAGACAGCTGGTCAGAACGCTCTCTATGGTGCTTTTGTAGAAGGTCGTGAGGATGGGTGGGGGCAGGTGGGCTCATTCTGTGCCCTTTTGACCAGTGCTGCTGACCACCTCTACAGCTGAATTGTTGATGAGCATTGGAGTGTGGTTAGGCCGATGCTTCCTGAAGTCGACAATGATCTCCTTTGTTTTCTCCATATTTAGGATCAGGCTGTTGTCTCTGCACCAGTCCACCAGCTGCTCCACCTCCTCTCTGTAGAACTAGTCTTGTCTTCTCTGATGAGTCCCACCACCGTGGTGTCGTCTGAAAACTGGGGACGCAGTCATGTGTTATCAGGATGAACAGCAGGGGGATCAAGACGCAGCCCTGAGGGGAGCCTGTGCTTAGGGTAATGACATCAGAGTTCTGTCCATACCTGACTGACTAAGGTCTGTTTGTGAGGAAGTCTAACAGCCAATTGCAGAGGGGTGTATTGAAGCCCAGCTGTTCCAGTTTTCCTATCAAATGCAGTGGGATGATGCACCTCTTACACCGCCTAGCATAGTGCTTTCTCTGGCCCGGCCTGCTCAGCTCGCCCTCTGTTTTGTTTACATCTGTCCATAGCACTCCGGAGCTTTCTTTGATCGAGAGTGCCTGTATTTAAAGCATTTTGTGACCGTAGCTCCAGCAGGCATTGGTGGTCGTAGCTGCAGGATTGATGCCTGGTTTGTAGCTTTCTGAGCAACATATATTGTGGAAGTGTCAGAATTGTCCGAAGAATTGTCGAGAGCTGCTCGAGGTTGCAGTTGCCGGGTGCCGCCATGATGATAAACTATTAATAACAGGAGGTGAAATGGTTTGAAATGGAGAAGATTAAATGAAAGCAAACAGAGGGATCACTGGGGGATTTTTTCAGAACTAGCTGTGTTTCCAATAATGGTAAAATTGTCAAATTGTACAAAACTATAATGGAAACAATGCAATTTCTAAAATACTCATGTTATTCCCTGAAAAACATAAGTTGATGGAATGCATTTTAACAAATAGCTGGTCGTGGATCAATGACTGAATCACCGACAGAGGACATCTGATTTTAGATTATATTATCAAGCAACATTAAACAATAAGTATATGATTGGGTGTTTCTCATTTTTCACGTAAACTAGAGATTACATGTATCTCCTCTTTGCTTCTGTTCTCTGCTGACATGTTTAATCTGTATCACATTTATTTGCAACACACAATGTTTTGAGCTGCTGCCTCTGCAGCTATGAGAGACTATATTCACGAATGTACCATCCTCCTTTACCGTAAATCTGAATCTGAAATAGGCTTTATTTATTCAGCTAAAGGATATATTATTATTCCCTCTGCTTCATTTTCTACTCTTCAGGTGCTCTGAATGACTACATTGGAATGCAAATCCTACAAAGAGCCACTCAGACCAAAATAGATTTTCTTTCAAAATGTCATCTGCTGGCTTTGGTAAATCAATCAGATTATATTAATAATAATGGAGAACACTGGAGAAATCCACTCTCTGCATTTAACCCATCCACTTGGGGAGCAGAGGGCCACCATTGTGTGGTGCCCAGGGAGCAGTGTGGGGTTAAGGGTCTTGCTCAGAGACCCAGAGTGCAGGCTGTTGGGATCAAACCGGGAACTTGCAACCTTTTCAGAGCACAAGCGCACTGGTCTAACCACTAGGCCAACACTCACCAATAAGGAGATTTTAAAACAAGAAGACTCAAAAATGTAATGGAGGGAAACTAAAGCTATGACTGGGACGTGGATGACAGGTGGGCTGCTTGGTGAGTGTGGAAGCCAGGCAAGCAGGGATGAATGTGATGATATCTGCAGTCTGCTGCCCAAGCATGCAAATATTTAGCACTCTTTTGTCATAATTTTTTGGTGATTGTGTTTATTCAGTCTGTTTCCTATTGTTTCCTAAGTTCGTTAGTGCTTGTCATTTAATGTCATTTGGGGTTTTTCACTTTAGTTAATTTCTTTTTGCTCACTGTTGTCATGTATTTTTAGCATTTGTTTTGTAGATATTTATTGTTGTAATTTAATCTTCTCATTGTTGTCATAGTTATTCATTCTGTATTATTATATTGTTGCTTGTTTTCCCCTATCTACCCTCAGTAATTACTATCCTAGTTAGTATCATTTACCTGAGTTTACTCATTTTCTCTGCACCTGTTCCGTGCTCTGTTAAGGTCTTCAGTTTATCGTCAGTTGGTCCTGGAGTCTCACGTTTGTCTCCCATTTTCTAGTCGTCCAGTTGTTTAAGCTTATTGTTTTGCTGATTAAAAGTCTTCCACTAACCATGGTGCTTCCAAACACTAGCACCATTAATCCTAACATCCTTATCTAGAATTTTTGAAGATCTTTATGTCATATTCAACAGTTTTTTTTTTATTTTGTCTTCAATGTTCTCAAAACTACCTTATATACAGTATATATATATATATATATATATAGATACATATATATATATCAACCCATCAATCGATCAATTTTACCAATGATTATGAATAATAATAAATAACTGGAAGTGGAAGTCATAGCTAAGTAACAGGTAATTCAAATCAGGGTAAAACTAATTGATGGTTATTAGTTAAATGATTATAACTGTAATTTGCTTACTCACAAGGGTTCTTAGTTTTGTTTTTTTTACATAAGGATTGACTCCTGGAATGGCCATTTTCAGATCCAGTTGCATTCACCAATTTAGCAATTTAGACTATAGCTATCAGCAGAGATTTTTCACCAACCAAAGAGATTTGCTCTGTTCATTCAACTGTTACACAAAAGCTTTTATGAGCCATGCAAACAGCAACTTTTAAACAGAGCATGCACGCGGAGAAATGGCCTCTTGCATCCCCTTGCACACGTTTAATAGGCGTTCCCTCTCGGTAGCGGGTACAGGGTTGTGCATGTGCATGTTTTTTTAAGTGGAGAGGGCTTTTTAAAAAATTTGCGAAAAACCTCTACTATACATTTAATGCATTTATAGTGTCTTTTAAGATAGCAGCAGATAGATGTGAATAACCCTGATGCAGATATTAAAGGCAAGCACATATGATGGAGATATTTACAATGGCCTGGCTCAAGTGTGGTTTTCCATAGCTCCAAGGAGTTTCTAATGAAGGCTTTTAGAATGCTGTTGATCTTGAACAGCTTCATGCATTCCAGAATCCGTGTGTGACGTTGAGTCATACACATCGATGATGTTATACGCCCTTGATAAATATGCTCCATGCAGGGTTTGAACTGGCCCTAGATTAGGCGAATTAAGGAACAGGAGTTAGAAAAGAAAGAACTGAACGGCTATGTTTCAAAATGCTCTGTGAGGAACCACCTGATCCTCAGTGGGACCAAATCAAGAGATGTCAGGGGACTTCAGACAGTTCACTGCGTTCAGCATTCTGAAAAAAGTGCATGAGGTTCACAATGAGTGTCCTTAGTCAGCAGACTAGAAAGATGAGTTTTGCAAAAATTCACATTATTTTAGGATACATGTAAGGAGTGGTGAAAAAATAGAGGAACTGTGGCAGATGAAAGGCAATCAGTCTCTCTGCTACTGAGAAACAATTGGAGAAAATAGGCATCTTTCTATTTTTTTCTTAGCTATTAATACACTGTAGTCCTAATTAAAATGAAACATTCTAGAGTGTGTGTGTATTTTGCATGTCTAATCAGACACGCCCAGTCCATTCTCATTTTAATTTGCAAACCTAGTGTGAAATTATTCATAAATTAACTGTATTTTAAGGACTCTTCAGTGTATGTGTATGCTAGTTTGTATCTGCGCTGTTGAGTGTGTGTGCATGCATGTACATGCATATATTTCTGTGGATAAGTTATCCTAAAAAAACACCCTCGTCACACCCCACAGCAGATTCTGACTAGTTACATTGGTGAAATACTGTCACTGCCTAAAGTGGGCAGATCAGAGTAACCCCCAATCCAGCAAAACAAACAGTCTCATATTAAAAATATGTCTAAATAAATATTAGCACTACAAATTATCAATCTGGCTCACCAGGTTAGTTAATAGTTTGCTTTGTATAGTGGAAACGTGTGTCTCAGGGGCTGCATATTTTTTTAAAGGCCAGATTTGAGGAAATTATTATATTTCTCTCAATATACAACTCCTTCTAAGACTCCTTCAAATGTGTACAACAAAATCGTTCCTTCTTTTTCCTGATTTGAAGGGTGGCTCTGGTGTATCCTTTGATATAAAGACATTCTTATGATTCAGTGCTGGTCGAAGCAGATTGGTCAAGCTCAGACAGCAATAGCGAACAGCGATTGTAACAATTGTGATTAGAAATTGATAAATTAAACTTTCCATGACACCAAATTAAACTTCCAGGATGTTTTTATATGAGAATGTAGGTTTTCTAAACTCAAATATTAGCTTGGTTGGTCTTTAAGCTGACGTAGGGATAGCATTGATAATGAAGATATTTTCTCTTTCTTCCTGTAATGACTTTTTATTAAAAATAATGGCATATATAACCTCTTAATTGACACACAGTCAGGGTTTAACACACAACAATTGGGTTATCTTAGGCAATAACAAATAACTTTAAGATTATTTTTCTAGATGCACGGAACATATATTTTGGACACCGCTTCATTAAAGTTTAGATGATAAATACTTTGTATTGCATCAAACAGTATTATGTTAGGGTGGATTAATTATCATTTGTATTGAGGACAAAATATAGAATATAACCTCATCTTTCTTATATTTGTGTTTAAAATATTTTCTTATTGAGAACCGCAGCTTTGATATTATTTTAGAAAATCACACAATTTGTGCTGTACAATGCTGAAAAGACATGGCTACGACACAACTCACTCATAAGGCAAAAAATCTGATTAAAAGTATTTTTTGAAAGGGACAGACTTTTGGCAGGTATTAAACATATTTTCACTTTGCCAACATCTCAGTCTTTAATTTTCCACACTGGTCTGATGTAATTTTATTATTAAATGTTGCATCTTCATTAGCTGTTAGCTGAAAACTTCATAACATTAGTTAGAATTCATGATACAGTTTGTTTCACTAGGTGATGCAGTTACTAAAATAATTGTTTTTTTTTTTTTACGGTAGGAGTAGAACACATTTTGTGCATACCATATCAGGGTATTACATTAATCTGTTCTGCAAAACATCAGAACAAGTTTGAGAATTTGGGTGCTGTCATGCTCGGGAAAATGAGAGCAACTTGGAATGCTAGTTGATGGTATAATACCTCACCTCTATGAGTGATATTTCATCAGTAAGCTGCATAACCCATGCAATAAGATAATCAAAATAAGCTGCATCTTTTATGCAAAACTCTCCCAAAGCATAACCATAATCAAATAAGCTCAATATCAAAAAGTACAATAATAAATTAAAGAGTTCAGTTGGATGAAAGTATTTAATTAAATGGTGATGTTTTAGTACATAAAAAAGTCCAGTAAATATGTCCTTTATTGTTTAAAGGATCAAAGCCTCCAAAGGCAAAATAAGCAAAACACCCAAAAGAAAGGAAAAGTTTGTTTTTTTCCACCCAATTTATTTATCAGTCTTGATTACAGCTACAATCAGAGAACATTGTTAAAAGCTGAAGATGCACCTGTTGCTGTTTGTTTGCTCAATTTTTGTTATATTTCAAGCATTTGGGCCCTAAGCAGGGGCTTTATTCATTTGTGCCTATTGGGGAGAAAATACGGTGCTCATTTTTCAAACTACTTGGTAAAAAAACCTACTGGAGGCAGTTTGAGGAATGTAATATTAAAGGCATGGAAATCTATATATCTAAAAATTCCCATAAAGTGACACCTGGGAAATGACTGTGCAAAAAAATTGTATTGATTATCACCTGTGTGGGTGGGCGTTCATGAAAACTCAAATGCTTATCAAATGTTTTTAAAAGATGCAAATCAGCAAAGATTCTCAACAAGTTCAATTTATAGACTCCAGTGGTCAGTGGGTTGCTTTTTCACAGGAAATAATTCTTACCCGAATGTTGATAATATGACGAAAACACACGAGTCCTGGGTGTGTGTCTACTCTCCTTCCTCATATTCCACTTGGTTAGTGAAAATGCTAAGTCACTTCTCAAATGGACATGCATTCCCTCTGATGTGAACCAGTCTTTAGATAGCTGCAAACATATGAGAGTTTCAGCTTGTTAGCATTACAGTGATATATGTGTGAGTGTGTGTTAGAGTGTTAACAGTACCTTGTGGACAGGACGCTGGGAATAAAGACATGAGGAACCATAGAACGGAGACAGGAAAGGAACAAATTGTCCATTTGAAAACTCCCACTAAAATAAAACAAAAACAGCAAAAAAAGAAGCTGTCAGTTGTCACCAACAACACATGTTGAACCATCAGCAAATACTGTAATAAAGTAACTAGAGTTTGGTTTGACCATATTCATATAGAAAATCTGATTGATATAGAACTTTATTATTTGCCATGCCCATTTAATAGAAATATATATATATTTTTATGCTTTCAGTATTATTCTGTGTTTATACGTGTATACAAAGAATTAGATTTTGGTATTGCACATTCCCAGCATACAGTTAATAAGGATGGCTATATAGCGCCAGCAATTATGATGACGTTATCCAATGAAAAGTGTCCTTAAATAGAACATGGGCTGTGTGTGCCACTCATTTTTCTCTGAGTGACCGTTGCTCTCATTCACGTTCATTACTTTAAAACTGTTCTGTTCAGTTTACCTTTCATTTAAAATATGAATGTATATTACTTCAAAGAGGACCTTCCATCTAGGAATTAATGACGTTCTTTTTGCATTTTCTTAACTTGAGATTTTCTATCAGTGTGATGAATGTGCAGCAAACCAGCAGAACTTAAAAACAGAATTTTGTTTTGTATACACTCTGGGCCGGATCTATCAAAGGTTTGCGTGTATAAACACGTGAGCTATTTCACTGCGCATGCTAAAAAATATACAAACTGATCTATCAACAGCGTGCTAAAAGGATTTGGTCTTTAAAACGTGCTAAATAGCGCCTCTTATCCATTTAGTACTTTTTCTGCAACAACTATGCAATATGGGGCGTTTACACGCAAAAGTGCGTTTTGTGGGAGGAGAACATGTAAATAAATTTATTTAGCACTCGCAAAGTGATTTATTAAACCTGAAAGCAATTTTGCTAATGGTATCTGACTCTATATTTAACACGTTTCAAAAGAAGGTGCAAATGGTCTGTATGCGTGATTGCGCACACATGGCAGCGGTTATTGTCCCAAGAAGGAGACATCGAAATGAAGCAAGGAGACGCAGAGAACGCATTTTTTCACTCCGTGTGAATATTTTTGCAATGAAGGAGGAAACGATCATCAAAACATATCGTTTATCCAGCATTGCCATTTTGGAGCTGTTGGGGGAACTCCGAATGGATTTGGAGCTAGCCACAAGGAGGACCCACGCAATACCAGATATCACAAAACTCCTTGCAACATTGCACTTTTTTGCATCTGGGTCATTCCAGCGTACGGTTGCAGCGAGAGCTGGGATCTCCCAATCTCGTTTTTCAGAAGTGCTGTCTGACGTTCTAAATGCCATGTCGCCCTGACGCCCTACCGGAGAACCCCGACCTCCCCCCTGCACCTGTGGAGCAACATGCCAATGCTGCGGGGATGGGTACGCGCAGTAATCTCATCCACAGTCACTTCTTGTGAGCCATTTGGTATGTGCATTTTTCTACAGGCCAATACAAAACACCTGCAGTGAAGTAGAAATTCAGCCACATACCACCTTAGTGAATAAAGGTTGCCAAAGTTTTTTCTTTTTATATATATATATATTATATATATATATATATATTATATATATATATATATATATATATATATATATATATATATATATATATATATATATATATATATATATATATATTATATATATATATATATATATATATATATATATATATATATATATATATATATATATATATATATATATATATATTATGAAGCTCTAGCGAAAGTTCAATTGAAGAAACTGACTTACCTCCATCAATCAGAAGCCGATCCGTCTCTGAAGCGAGCCAATCAGCTTCGAACTACTCCACCACGAAGCCCAATCAGCGTCCTGCTTCCACTTTATAAACTCCCTCAAATCTCACCACAGCCGCTATCCTGCAATCGCTGTCGGATTTCGATTCAGACGACAATTCAATTTTCCCCGCTCGGAGAAGCTCCCGTCTAGCCGCTCTCATCTCCTTCTTCCGTGTTACACTCCAAGGGTATATTGCCAGGCTCCGACCTAAACTCTGCTCAGATGTCTTAACGAGCCTCCCTCCTACCTCCTCGTGATTCATCTCCCTCGCCTTCCGCTTCAATCCGCTCCGATTCCTGGCCGCAAAAGACATGCAAGTCCTCTGCTCCCCTCGCCAGGCGCAGAAGGCCTCCCGGATCTGTCCCAGCAGCAGTCACCGCTACGCCCGCTCCTTCTCATCGTTTCAATGCAGCCTTGGACCTCTTCAGCTTCCTGATTCATAGCAGCTCCCCCATCTAGTCCTTCTGGCGTTTAACAGCTCTCAGCCTCCCTCCGCTCCACCGGACTCTCTCACTCAATCCTTCGACGCTGTCCACACGCTCCAAACGTGGGAATCCCTGCACTGCCACGTCATCCCTGCCGCTGTCTGCTCAGACGGACCTCCCCCTCCCCTCATTCACATTAGGGAACGCCCGCCGGGCCAGCCTTAGGGTAAGACGTATTCAACCATGTTTTCATTCATAATTTTCTATCTATTTGAGTTTGCTGTTATGCTTCGTCTGCCTCTATCAGGCATACTTATATTAACACACATGCTGATATTTTCACTAGCCTCGTTCTAAATTATTCAGGGGAATATTTTAGTCTCTTATTCTTCCCTCCCCTGAAGTCGATCAGCAGGTCGCATCAGCAGGTGACGTCACAGTTTTCCTTAAATCATCCGATCTCCGTCTACCAGAGATCTTCTATTGGCCAAATTATTATTTTTTTGGCCGCATTCAGCATCTATCGTGATTACTCAGAGCTTCTGCAGTAGGGCCATCCGATCAGTCTGTCCCTGCCTGTCCCTGCCGTGCACGCTTTATATATCGTACCTCAGTCTTAGCAGCCCGTCATCTTACCACCCCTTATTATTACTTCTGATTATCGTTCTGTCTTCTTCTTCTTCTTTAAAAAAAAAAAAAAAAAAAAATATAAACAAAACTGATGTTCTACATCAGTCATTTCTAAATGCCAATTGCGCTCCTTGCTAGGTCAGCTAATTTGCCATGCGCTTATTTCTCAAGGTCGCGCTTTCATTCCCAGTTGCTTGATCCGGCAATTTCCGTCCCTCTCCTTGGTCAGATTACTGAACGTAGGCTGCCGTTCGGATCCTATGGTCTGACTGCTTCTAAATTGGAACAAAATTTCTTTTCTATGTCGGCATTATCTATCTCCTGCCATGCTTCAAAAATTTTACGGATGCTGCATCCGTAGGTTTTGGGGGGTTCTTCAGGACAGGTGGTTCACGGGTTCATGGCCTCTTTTATTCACACCCATTATGCTTGTGTGAGGTCTAACCCTAGCTAGCTTGCATCGTGGGGCTTGGGAAGGAATCGCGTCCGCCCACTGCGATAACTTCGTAGTAGTTGAAGCCACTAATAAGTCACTCCTCCTCCCAGTCTCTCATGCCTTCATCAGAAGCATCACTGGCTGCAGTCCCTAACGTTTCATCATCTCGGCGCGTCATGTTCAGGCATTCAAGCACTTTTATCCGCCCACTCATGGTTCCTTCACCACCTCAGGATACTCTTAGAATCACGTGGCCTTCCCTCTAGTAGGTAATCTGGACATTCGTTCTGGACCGAGCAGCTGCATTGCAGCTACTCGCGGGGTTCTGAGGCTTCCCTCAGCTCTGGGCCGATGGTTCACCAGCCTATACCTCATTCATCCGCCCAGAACTCTCACCAATTCTCTCAGCTCAGTGCTCTCTCTGCCTCTAGGTAACTCTATTACAAATACTGGTGGTGGTTCAACTCATTTTCATAATTTTCTGACCAAATCACGACCATCCTCTAACTCATTTTCTACTCCCACTCCTTATCAGTTTTCTTCATTATTCCCTGCTTCATGCACTCTTCCATGCTGTCTCCTTGCTATTCATGCTATCTTCATTCTGGCTCGCATTCATGCAATCTCACCTTTATGACGGGCATTTATATGCATTCTCCTGTGTGTCACGTCACGTCTGGTCTGTGTCTCGTCATGCATCCTTGACACCATTTAGCATGCATTCCCTAATGCATCAATTCTTCATATATGTTACCATCGCAAGATTCATTATCAGACTCATCTGCAAGATTCATTATCAGACTCATCTGCAAGATTCATTATCAGACTCATCCGCAAGATTCATTATCAGACTCATCCGCAAGATTCATTCCCTAATGCATCACATGCTCCCTATCTGTGTCTCGTCGTGTCTCGTCATGCATCCCTTCCGCCATTTTGCTTGCATTTCCAATGCATCAATATGCACCATGTCTGCGTCTCGTCATGTCTGTATCCCGTCATGTTATATGTTCTATATGGACTCATCCGCAAGATTCATTATCAGACTCATCCGCAAGATTCATTATCAGACTCATCCGCAAGATTCATTCCCTATGCATCACATGCTCCCTATCTGTGTCTCGTCGTGTCTCGTCATGCATCCCTTACGCCATTTTGCTTGCATTTCCAATGCATCAATATGCACCATGTCTGCGTCTTGTCATGTCTGTATCCCGTCATGTTATATGTTCTATATGGACTCATCCGCAAGATTCATTATCAGACTCATCCGCAAGATTCATTATCAGACTCATCCGCAAGATTCATTATCAGACTCATCCGCAAGATTCATCATCATCATAATGGGATGCGTCGTCGTCATCATCATCATCATCATCATCATCCGCAGGATTCATCATCATCATCCGCAGGATTCATCATCATCGTCATCATCATCGTCATGGGTTCATCATCGTCATCATCATCATGGGATCATCATCATCATCATCATGGGATCATCATCATCATCATCATCATCATGGGATCATCATCATCATCATCATCATCATGGGATCATCATCATCATCATCATCATGGGATCATCATCATCATCATCATCATCATGGGATCATCATCATCATCATGGGATCATCATCATCATCATCATCATGGGATCATCATCATCATCATGGGTAAATCATCATCATCATCATGGGTAAATCATCATCGGTAAGTTCTCGGCGTCAACCGTGG